TTGCCACTGAGGCCTCATGAACTCATCTTCAGCTTCAAATGATGATACTAACATCAACCTCTGTTACTATAGTCAGCTGTAATCTCCTTAGTATAATGCTACTGGAGAAATATAATCAGCTGACAAATTTAGATTCTACTTGTATTGTTTATCTGCAGGCATAGGTCTCCCCAGGCTTGTTACTGGGCCTGAGAGTAATTTACCTCCTGCAGAGTTTAACATGGTTATACCCTGATATTTAGTAGGGCTACCGATGAATCGATGGTAGTAGTCTGCCCCCACAAGGACAGCCATTTGGCATTTGATTTGCTCAAATTTACCTGCAGCTGCTTGATAATAGCTTTCCAGGTCAGCATAATCAACTGTTGATTGTTGTGACAAATCTTCACATTTCTTGATCTGTCTTGTTAAGTGGCCTTTAAGACCTGCAAGGGTTCTTTTCATTCTCCCTGCATTATCCATACTGGCTAGTTGGTGAAGCCTTGTGGGACTTGTACTTGGGCTGCTCATAATACTGAACAAACACTAATGGTAGCCTAGGGTAAATTCTGCACTCACTAGGCAATAATCCTACCTCTACTAGAGGTTAGCACTTAAAATTAATACACATTATATATATACAATCATACACACTAATGATTTGAGTGATAAACCAGTGTCACTGGAAGTACCTTTAGGTTAGCTCTTCTATATCACCCTAGGATGGTAGAGACACTAATTAATCACTCAAAGGTGTAATGATCATAAGTAAATTATTATATATACAACTCAACTCGAGTTGATAAAAATTACACCCAAAATAGGGTCTGCACCATTCATTAATGGTGTTAGGTTATTCAATATAGTACAACTGACTATGGTAATAATGGGACTAGAATGAGCAATAATAGTTCAACTAGTCAATGGTAATATCCTACCCTGTTGTGGGTTGGCAATTAGTAAATATTATATTGTGAACACTAGTGCAATATATATTAAATAATTCTCTATTTGGAGAAATAATATACACAATTATTGATAATAGCCTCTTAATTAGCCTCTATGAAACTTCTAATATTATCTAGAAGTATTAAATATTATTAGTGACCTCGCGAAATAAAGTCCACAAAATTCGTAGATAATCTCTCGCGAAATGTAACACCACGAAATCCGTGAACAATCTCGCGAAGACACAGTCACTAATTTGGCTGGATTCTATATTAGCGCTGTCATTTCACGAAATAACACGCCACCAAATATCTGTGGGTGTGCATGAAACCGCTGACGAAGGCTGAACTGGGCTGAGGGAGGCTCCTGAGCTCCCACGAGGCTACGCCGCTGTCTTGACTGGCTTTGTTTAAATAACACTGCACTAGTATATTTAATGAATCCACTGGTTTGGTTAACTGGTTCATCCGGTACTAAGATGACCAAATGTGGGTTCAAAGGATCAAATAATCCGTCATCCGGTTCGAAGATGACCAAATAATGTGGGAACCGACCTGTGAGATTTATATTTATTTAATTTATATGAATTTATATTTACGTTAATTTATATACTTCGATAGCAATTTGTATAATGATAAGTGGACTGTATTTCTGCAATAATCTCAATCTCACAAATCGATCCTCTACACATTAGGGGGGGTTTATATTACACATATGCAGCCAATCAAATTACAGTAATAGCTACATACATTGATGAGGTTCCTTCTCTTATAGTACAGCAGGTTAGTCCACCAGGTATAACTAGAGTGTAGACACCAAATTATCCTCTTGGAGGTAGCTTCTATCACCCAGTAACTGGTGCACATAATCTTGCATCCTCGTCTTGACCTGTCAAAAGTGCGCTAGCTGTGAAGCCAGAATCCTATATATGACAAGCTATATCAGAGAAAACACTATATGGAACATTGAAGACCTGGCTTAATTACCTTTAGTTTGAGGCGATTTCGCGTTCTAACCGGCTAATATAACATTAATGGCCATAAATGAAAGTGGAAGATCCAGACAATGGTACACCTTTGGGTTCCATTAATGTGCTCCCGTGTGATCTGGTCTCATTCAAACCCAGATTTCGGAACGTGATAAAGGGTCACATTTAACTGATATCAACACGAGCGCACTAATTCCACTTTACGTTTTCTATGAAAGAGAAATTGAAAACATGCCCATGCACTCGGCCCCAGGTCCAGACTCATGGAATTCAATATTTATAAAGAAATGCAAAGTGCCGGTAGCACAGGCACTCAGTATAGTGTGGAGGAAGAGCTTGGACACGGGGGAGATACCAGATGCACTTAAAGTAGCAGACATAGCCCCTCTACACAAGGGAGGGAGCAAAGCATTGGCAAAGAATTATAGACCAGTTGCACTAACATCGCACATCATAAAAGTATTTGAGAGAGTGATTAGGAGTCAGGTCACCAATTTCATGGAGACCAATGACCTTCACAACCTAGGCCAACATGGATTTCGAGCGGGAAGATCGTGCCTCTCACAGCTACTTGAGCACTACGACAAAGTCACTGAGGCATTAGAAGAAAAACAGAATGCTGATGTGATATACACGGACTTCGCAAAGGCTTTCGATAAATGTGACCATGGCGTGATAGCACACAAAATGAAGTCAATGGGAATAACCGGTAAAGTAGGACGCTGGATACTCAGTTTTCTGTCAAACAGGACTCAGCGAGTAACAGTCAACCATATAAAATTTAGTCCAAGTGCAGTGAAAAGCTCTGTACCTCAGGGTACAGTCCTTGCACCGCTGCTTTTCCTTATTCTCTTATCAAATATAGACAAAAATACAAGTCACAGCTTCGTATCATCCTTTGCAGATGACACAAAAATCAGTTTGAAAATTATCTCGGCTGAAGACACTGAAAAACTTTAAGCTGATATTAATAAAGTTTTCGACTGGGCATCAGAAAATAACATGATGTTTAATAGTGATAAATTCCAGGTACTCAAGTACGGTAAAAATGAGGACCTTAAGCATAATACAGAGTACAAAACACAATCAAATGTACCCATAGTAGGAAAACAGCATGTAAAGGATTTGGGAATAATAATGTCTGACGACCTAACGTTTAAGGAGCATAACCAAGCAAATATTGCGACAGCCAGAAAAATTATAGGATGGTTACGAGAACTTTCAAATCCAGGGATCCCATCACAATGGTTGTACTCTTCAAGTCACTTGTGTTGTCCCGTCTTGAGTACTGCTCAGTACTCACTTCCCTCTTCAGAGCAGGAGAGATTGCTGAAATAGAGGGAATACAGAGAACATATACGGCACGCATAGACGCAATAAAGCACCTAAATTATTGGGATCGTCTCAAAGCCCTCCAAATGTACTCACTAGAAAGAAGACGAGAGAGATATCAAATAATATACACCTGGAAGATACTGGAGGGCCAAGTACCAAATCTACACAGTAAAATAACAACGTACTGGAGTGAACGATATGGAAGAAAATGCAGAATAGAACCAGTGAAGAGCAGAGGTGCCATAGGCACAATCAGAGAACACTGTATAAACATCAGAGGTCCGCGGTTGTTCAACATCCGCCCAGCAAGCATAAGAAATATTGCCGGAACAACCGTGGACATCTTCAAGAAGAAACTAGATTTATTCCTCCAAGGAGTGCCGGACCAACCGGGCTGTGGTGGGTATGTGGGCCTGTGGGCCGCTCCAAGCAACAGCCTAGTGGACCAAACTCTCACAAGTCAAGCCTGGCCTCGGGCCGGGCTTGGGGAGTAGAAGAACTCCAAGAACCCCATCAACCAGGTATCAACCAGTGTATATATTATTTGATACCTCTTTCATCTAGAGAGAGTACCTCCTTTCGAGAGTATATTTTGAGAGCTTTGAGAGGATCCCAATAGTTTAGGTGCTTTATCGTGTCTACTGCGTACTGAATATTATCTCTGTAGTCCCTCTATTTCAGTCATCTCTCCTGCTCTGAAGGGGGGAGTGAGTATCGAGCAGTACTCGATGCGGGACAGCACAAGTGATTTGAATAATATGAGCATTGAGGTGGGACCCCTGGATATGATGATGGGATCCCTGGATTTTAAAGTTCTCGTAATCCATCCTATCATTTTTCTAGCAGATGTTATTTGTTTGGTTATACTCCCTAAACGTTAGATCGTCACACATCAATATTCCTAGATTCTTTACATGTTACTTTCGTACTATGGACAGATTTGATTGTGTCTGGTACCCTGTATTTTGTTTAAGGTCCTCATTTTTACCACAGATTAGCACCTGGAATTTATCACTGTTAAACGCCATGTAATTTTCTGCTGCTCAATTGAAGACTTTATTAATATCTGCTTGTTGTTTTCCAATTTCTTCTACAAAAGTAATTTTCATACTGACTTTCGTGTCAACTGCAAAAGATGACACGAAGCTGAGACTTGTATTTTTGTCAATATCTGATATGAGAATAAGGAAATAAGTAATTATCAAAATAAGGCACCAAGCTGGGGAGACTATGTAGCACCATCAAATGTACGAGATATTCAAAAGGCGCTAAATATCACTAAGGATGTCAAAACTAGAACAAAATCGCATAAGGCAAACGATATCAAAGGTATCCGATTCACCAAGGATTCTATCGAAGGACAAGTGACCGCGAGGGGCGGTCGGGAAGCAAGACACACGCACATCCTGGAAGACAGGACATCCAACAAGGATATGAACGACTGTAAGAGGGACAATGCAGTTCGGACAATAAGGAGTTTCATTCTCGTAAACTGTTAAATGTAAACAAAGCCTCCAAAGATTGGGGAAAGTTGAAGAGGTTCGCAAGTACTTGTGTAACTGCTTCAGGTCTCCTGGTCCTGGTCATTAACGTTACACTGAGGTGACGGAGCCCCGTGTGTTGTGATGTGTTGATTATGAGAGTTGTAACAGGGAGAGCTCGAAGCGTTGACGGATCAGAATGGCTGCCCAAATGTTGGTTAAAGCAACCAAAAAGTCTACTGTTAATGAACAAAACACACTTTACTCACCACTCAACCGATTAGTTCAAACTTTTCTCGAGGTAGTGAATCGTTCTCTTCCTGTGTTTGAATTGGTGCGCATCTCACAAAATGCTTCACTCACGCACTGGAAATACAAATAATTGAAAACAGAGGGAAAACGCATACTCTAACCTACCCTAGTAGGCCTGACCTTACATAAAATTATAATGTAAATTATTAATTAATATTCGATAAATTACCAGTTCTAGTTACACGGGAAGGTAACATTTATCAATGTGCTTTCGTGGTTGGCAGAATGTTGGACGACCATAGCCTGAGGATGGGGGAGAGTACACACACACACACACACACACACACACACACACACACACACACACACACACACACACACACACACACACACACACACACACACACACACACGTACCTTGTCGAGCACAAGACGAAGCTGGAAAAAGTTCAGAGGAATGCCACTAGACTAGTCCCAGAAGTAAGAGCCATGAGTTACGAGGAAAGGCTGCGGGAAATGCACCTTGCGACACTGGAAGACAGAAGAGTAAGGGGAGACATGATCACTACCTACAAAATCCTCAGGGGAAATGACAGGGTAGACAAGGATAAACTATTCAACACTGGTGGTACGCGAACAAGGGGACACAGGTGGAAACTGAGTACCCAAATGAGCCACAGGGACGTTAGAAAGAACTTTTTCAGTGTCAGAGTAGTTAACAGGTGGAATGCATTAGGCAGAGATGTGGTGGAGCCTAACTCCATACACAGTTTTAAATGTAGATATGATACAGCCCAGTAGGTTCAGGAATCTGTACACCAGTTGATTGACAGTTGAGAGGCGGGACCAAAGAGCCAGAGCTCAACTCCGCAAACACAACTAGGTGAGTACACACACACACACATGCGCACGCTCCAATGTTCCAGTGGAACATCTGGAGCGAAAGAACTTTGTAACACAGCATCAATATGGGTTCAGGGATGGCAAGTCCTGCCTCACAGGCTTAATTGAATTCTACGACCAGGCAACGAAAATCAGGCAAGAAAGAGAGGGTGGGCAGACTGCAAATTTTTAGATTGCCAGAAAGCCTATGATACAGTACCACACAAGAGGCTAGTGAAAAAACTGGATATGCAGGCTGGAGTGAAAGGGAAGGTACCCCATTGGTTTAAGGGAATACCTAAGCAACAGAAGACAATGAGTCACAGTGAGGGGTGAGGTCTCAGATTGGCGAGACGTCACAAGTGGAGTCCCTCGGGGGTCAGTCCTTGAACCTATACTGTTTCTGATATATGTAAATGATCTCCTAGAGGGTATAGACTCGTTTCTCTCAATGATTGAGGACGATGTAAAAATCATGAGGAGGATTGACATGCACAACTGTAAGAGGGAAAAAGCAATTTGGACAATAAGGAGCAGGGCGCCGCTCCATTAAGTGACCATGAGTTAAGTGTGTATGGCCAATACACAACCTTGCTAGAGCCGTTTCCCATCGCCGGTTACAGTGGTAGGAGGATGGCCATGGGAACACACTACACTTAAGAGTACACAGTTTGTTACCAAAAACAGAAGACCAACAACCTTCCTATTGGGCAAGGATGGAGGAATGAATAACTGGGTAAAAGTTGGAATAAGGAATACCTTTACGAGAGATGGGACAAGAGTGGATAGCTTCCCTAGCGGCAGCATCCGCATGCTCATTTAGAGAAAAACCAATATGGCTGGGAACCCAGCAAAACTCAACTGATTTAAATTTACAGGAGATAAGAAACAGCTAATGTTGAATCTCGACGACCACCGGATGGACTGGATTAAAGGACCCTAGAGCCATGAGGGCACTATGAGAGTCAACTACAACCACAAATAAGAATTGACAACGAGAAAGCAGGAGACGAAGAGTATAGAGAATTGCATAAAGTTCTGCTGTGAAGATGCTAATCTCTGGAGGTAGCCAACACAGATAAGTGTGGTCAGGAAAAACAACAGAGTTGCCTACACCGTCTGCAGACTTAGACCCATCGGTGAGGATAGAAATGGAGCGAAAGTGGGAAGAAAAGTGTTCAAGGAAAAGGCGTTTCAGAGCTGTAGGAGGGGTAAAAGTTTTAGTGATGCGGGTCTTGGATGTACAAAATTTTCGAAGGGAAACTCTTCACAGGGGCAAGGAAGGAACAATACGAGGTGAAATATTAGAAATACGAACCGAAAGAAAATTCTGCAAGCGAGATAACCGGACAGAAAGAGGGAGGTGGTGAAGAGGAACAGGAACTACAGGATGGGTAAAAGTCAAAGCACGACAGAGGTGAGAGGAACGATGTTGCAAGGACCGCGCAAGATAGCGAAGACAGTAGCGATCATGGCAGTCTTGGAGAGATAGGAAGCCAGTGACAACATACAAGCTGAGGGCGGGAGTTGAACGAAAGGCACCAGAGCTGAGGCGCAACTCAGTATAGTGAAAAGCATCAAGATGACAAAGAGTAGAAGGAGAAGCAGATGAGTAAGCAGGGCAACCATAAACGAGTTTAAACAGGACGAGAGAGGAATGTAAAGAAAGGAGTGTGCGCCCCATACTCCCATTTTTGTCCCATACTCCCCAAGAAGTATGGGACAAAACCTTAAGAAGATTAAGGGTTTTAGAGCATTCAACTAAGAGGTAAAAGTTATGGAGCGACCAAGACAAACGAATGTCAAAGATTAACTACAAAAGCTTAGTGGAATCCCTGTACACAATGGGGTGACCATAAAACGACAAAGAGGGACGTAGAACGACACGCTTCTGAGTAAAAGTCATAGCACAAGTCTTAGATGTAGAGAACTTGAAGCCATGATCGGTGGCCCAAGACGACATGTCATCAATCGCAAGTTGAAGCCGCCGTTGAAGGAGAGGTGAATCATCACCCCGATAGCAAAGGGTAAGATCGTCGACATAGAAAGCGGAGAAGACACCAGACGGAAGGGAGCAAAGAAGACCATTGAGGGCAACTAGAAAAAGAATAGTGCTCAGAACACTACCTTGGGGTACATCCCTCGTATTGCCTAAAAGGGGCAGAGAGAGTGGCACCAAGCCTCACTCGAAAAGAATGACAAGAGAGGAGGCTTTGGAGGGAGAGAGAGAGAGATTACGACAAAGGCCAAAAGAATGAAGTTGGGACAGAATATGATATCTCCAGGTGGTGTCGTAAGCCTTTTCTAAGTCCAAAAAAAAAAGGAAACAATGGAGATCTTCGCAGCAAAAGCAGTACGAATATAGACCTCCAAGTTAACCAGGACATCTGGCTGTGGCACTTGCGAAAACCAAATTGAAAAGGGGAGAGGTGGTGATAGTGTTCCAAAACCACATCAGACAAACGTTAACCATACGTTCAAAGAGTTTGCAGACACAACTTGTGAAGGCAATAGGGCAGAAGTCCTTAGGGGATGTTCCTAGAGACCCTGGTTTCCAAACAGGGAGGACAACAGCATCGAGCCAGTCCTCAGGGACGGACGACAACTCCCAGACCCGATTATAGAGACTCAGTAAAGCTGAGACGTGCACAGAGGGAGATGGCGAAGCATCTCATAATGAATGCCATCGGAGCCCACTGCCGTAGAACCGCAGAGGGCCAGGGCAGACTGAAGTTCAGATAGAGAGAGAGAAAGGATCGTTATAGGGAAGTCTGAGATAAGTGCAGAAATCTAAAGGGCGAGATTCAAGAACAGATTTACGAAGAAGGAAAGATTGAGGAAGATGAGAACCAGAGCTAACAGACAAAAAGTGGGAACCCAGTTCGGTCGCGATCTGCAATGGGTCCGCCACAAGAGTACCACGGAGGTGAAGGACCGGCGAGATATTGGGAACGAACTTACCCGCTATCTTGCGGATACACTTCCAGATCTGCGGCAGGGGAGTTTCGGACGTAATGGTAGAAACAACACTTCCAGCATGTTTAACTGTATGGATGATCCTACAGGCCACCACACTTGCCTTCCGAAACAAAAGAAAAGAATCAGCCATCTGCTGACGGTGGTCTCTTTTCTAGGTTGCACGCTTACAGGGGACAGCCCGAACACAGTCCACATTCCACTAGGGAACTTACTTCCGCGTTTCTCGAGAGGTAGAGCGAGGAATAGAGCGGAGGGCAGTGTTGAAGACAGTGTCATGAAAAAGGAGGAAGGCATGAGGGAGAAGCAAAATGGAGAGGTCGGAGAGAGTATCACAGAGAGTAAATAGGCGCCAGTCAGCCTCAGCAAACCGCCACCTAGGGAAGGAGAGGGGAAGGTGAAAAAGAGAGAGAGAAAAAGGTAAGAAGGATGGGGAAATGGTCATTTCCATGGAAGTCATCAAGAACCCGCCACGTGAAATCCAAGTAAAGAGACGACAAGCAAACTACAAAGGTAAGGAAAGACAGGAATGGGCGCGAGTCTGAGAGTCCAAATGGGTGGGCTCACCAGAATTCAGAAGAGACAGGGAAAAAGAGAGGATGAACGGTTCGAGAAGGTGACACCCCGTGTTTGTCAGAACATCACCCTAGAAGGTATGTTGACAATTAAAATCACCAAGCAGGAGCACAGTCTCGGGCAAGGAGTCCAGGAGGTGTTTAAGATCGGGAAGAGAAAGCGAGACATTCGGGGGGAGATAAATGGAACAAACCGTGTACCATTTACTCATAAAGACACGGGCAGCAGAAAATTGGAGAGGCGATGGAAAAGTAAGGGGACGAAGGGAATATCAGAAGACAAAAAGAGAAAGGACAGCAACAGAGAACAATGAAGAAACAAAGGTGAAAAAGGAACACAGAATGTTAAAGAGGCTCAGGATCAGGGTCAGTAAAGTCAGGGTTAGGGAGCATGGGTAAACTGAGTAAGGTTGGAGGGAAGGGAGCAGGAGGACAGACCAGAGGCGATGAGCAGGGTCCGGAGGAGGGGGAGGAGACAACCGAGAGGGGTGAACAAGGACAGTAGGAGGAGGGGCAGAAACCGGTGAGCACACCTCACCAAGGGCAGCAACCGAGAGGGAAGTGGGGGCCAAAGAAACCTCTATAGCAGGAACAGGGCTCGACCACTGAAACGGGAGGGGATGGAGCAACAGAGTCAGAGGTGGGGGGCGAGGAAGAAAGCGAAGCCTTCTTTCCCGCCGG